CTATTTAGCCCCACATGCATGGAGGACACAGGACAAACAGGAGGCCTCGTGAGCCTTTTGGCCCCCATTGACATTGGCTGCCAACAGACTACAGGTCAAAACCCTGTATGCCTCCAGCCTTAGCTCTTCTGCAGACTGAATTCACCCCAATCTGGTCTCATTCCCATTTTTCATTGCCTAATGGAATCTCCATCTGGACCTTCTGGCGGCATTCCTCTGACCAAACACTGTGCTACAGATGACGGAGTCCCAGCCAGAAGGCTAGGAGACCTGGATTCTGCCACCAAGAGGGGGGTGTCCTTGGGCAGGTTGTTTGGGTTTCACTATCCTCCTTGGTCAAAATATAAAGGGAAAGCAAGAATCCATTCTGATTCCAAAAGGAATCAATCACCCTCATTTCCCTTCCCCCTTCCAAGAAGTTCCTCCATGCTCTCATGCTGCTAACAATTGCCTTATTCTTCTCCCAGCAAACCAGAACAAAATGTCAGTGTCCAAATTGACTCCTTTCTCTCTCTTCCAAATCCAAGTAGTCACCAAATCCTACTGGATTTGTTGGAAAGCTCACTTGCTTCCATTCCCTCCTCTCCATTGCTACTACATTCCCTTGATTCATGTCCTAAGCTACCTCCATGAGTTATCCAATAGTCCATCCTCACAAGAAATCCTTCCCTCTCTCTCTCTAACCTGTACTTTATAGCTCCAAATCCTCCTGAAAACACAGCTTTCACCATATCTTATCCATTCTCAAAAAACCCTAAATGTCACTGATGTCATACAATTTGAATTCTTTAGCTCTAGATTTCAAAGATTTACATGATCTGACCCCAGACTGAGATCCCAGGCTCTCCTCTGTTAGTGTCCCCACCCACTCCAAGATTCTAGTCATGCGGGCCCACTACTCTTTGGGCCTGTCTGTCTTTCCAATCTTTCAGCTTCTGCTCCTTTTCTTCCCTCATCTTCCACACAAAATGAACTGCCCCTTTTCCTCTTTATTGAAGAAAATACTGCAAAGCCAGCCAGTTCAGGGCCCACATTTACCACAACACTTCCTGAACATCTACTAGATAATGGGCCATACACAAGAGCTGAAGCAGCCCAAAGCAGTTTAGAGCATAGAGAGAACTGCAAACAAGTGACTTAAGTAACACAGCAGAGATCTAAATTTGTTGCACTGTGTATATATTAGAAGCAAAGAGTAAAAACGAAGATGGTAAGGAGTTTTCAAGAATTTGATCAGCATCCTGAAGAATTAATAACAGTTCATCCATCTTGCAGAGCAGAGATAACAGATATTTCCAGGGAGAGGAAACGTGTGCAGAGGCAGGGAGACACATAAAAGCAGAAATGATCGAGTCCCTTGGTTTGGGGAACATTGGAGATGCAGCTGGAGAGCTAAATTAGGGCCAGCCTCTACATTGACTTGAATGTCATACAAGAATGTTATACTTTATCCTATCAGACAATCTCATCCTGTTGGTGTCTACAGATGTGTTACAGAAACCAAGATTACTACACAACATAGAACAGGGTGATTAAAAGCACCGTGCCCAATGAATGCTTAGCCCTCAGTGTGCAGACATACATAGTATGAATGTGACAGAGACACAGAGAGGAAATGAAATTACCAAAGAGTACTAAACCAATGACCCTAAGGCCAAAAGAAATCATAAATTTGCTAAAGGCAAAGCTCAGAATGAGCAGCCCTCTGGAATTTTGAGACCTTAAGGAGACTGGGTTTAAAGCTCAACAGATGGCTCTAGGGCATCATTTCCTAGAAGACTATTTACCAGTTATGTGGAAGATAAGAATAGGCCTTGAGGAGATCCACAAGGTCCAACAGAGCTGGCTTTAAGAGAAAATATAGCCAGATGGGTGGCACATGCCTGCAATCCCAGCAATTTGGGAGGCTTAGGCAAAAGGATCACAAGTTCAAGTCTAGTCTCAGTAACTCAGCAAGTCCCTAAGCAACTTAGTGAGACCCTATCTCAAAATAAAAATTAAAAAGGGTTGGGGATGTGGGCTGAGGCTGTAGCTCAGTGGCAGAGTGCTTGCCTAGCATGTGTGAGGCACTGGGTTGGATCCTTAGCACTACATAAAAAAACTAAACAAATAAAGGCATGCTGCTATCCACCTACAAGTATAAAAAAAATTAAAAAGGGTTGGGGACATGGCTCAGTGGTAAAACACCTCTGGGTTCAATCCCTAGTACCTGTCCGCCTATGCAGACTACAACTCACCTTTCCTATATTCTTGAAAACAGGGACACATAAGTGCCATCAAGCACTAAAATGAAAGCATGATGCTAGAAAACAAAAGTCCAAGGGAAGTGGAACTCTTGAGGAAAGAGGAAGCAGGAAAAATAGTGACTCAGGAAAAAAACAAAGCTACCAAGAGTTTTAGCCTAGTTGTGCCCACACCAAATAGTGACTGAGTGTCACATCTTGAATGGAGATGCACAATTTATGGAACTTAATAAATGTTTAAATACCTTGTCTCTTGTGCTTGTATAACTCTACCGTCTCATATTTTGTACTAAGGGATCCACCAGGGGATTTTAAGCAGAAGGGTATCATGAACAGATTTGTAATTCAGGAAAAAAAAAAAATCTTATGGTCAAGTAAAAAACAACTTGTAAATAGTACCATTCCTCAAGTCCAAAGTTAAATTCTCCTAGAACTGCTCCTCCCTCCTCATGTAGTGACTGACACCTCCCACTTCTTAGTCTCCTGGCCTACAGATTCTGTATTTACAGGGTCTCTTGGGTATCAATTTCACCATTCTCTCAGGTCCCAGATAAGGGCTCATTACTTCTACCCCAAATTAGTCTGCCAGTCTCCTAAGTAGCCTCCCCAGTCTTGCTTCCCAAGCATTGCCAGAGTCCACTACAGCCATTCCTACCAGGCAGTTGTCAGAATCTCCTGAGGGATCTTTTTTACAAAATCCCAAACCTACCTAATCTGAACTGTTCCTAAAGCTCCCTCAAGCAAGTCAGTTTGCAAACTACTACTTTAAATTCTTGCTATAGATAATGAAGTGATAGCCACCCTCCCCTGAAAAAGTTAGAAATGCAGAACACCAGATCCCACCTCTGAGCTACCCAATCAAATCTGCATTTGAAGGAGATTTTCAGTGAGTCTTAGGTTGTTAAAGTTTGAGAAGCACTGCTTCTCAAACTTCCACAAAACATTTACTGGATTTTCTGTTTCAGGCTGGGAGTTGGGTCAAGGGTCAAAGTTTCAACTTTGAGCTGCTCACAGAACCATAAGTCAATCCTCTGCTTAAAATCATTTGACTCCCATGCCTTCAGACAAAGTCTGAATGAACTTCTTTCTACACCTGGTGTTTTTGGCCAGCTGGGACCATGTTCCATCTTGTTACCTGCTTTACTGTTAACCACCCACCATAGGGGCCAGGCTGGACTGCTGGCCACTTGTCACTAGTCTGAGCTTGCCTGCCTCTACAGCTTTCACAGCCTAGGTCACTCCTACTCACTCACCTCTGCCTGCAGAAACCTTGGAGAAATCCTTTGAGGTTCATCACTTATACCACCCCTTCCTGAAATTATCCCAGATTTTTTATGCTTAAATGAAAGATGGGAATTTCCCCACTTTGTTCCTACCTCCTTCATGTAATTAATCTTACTTCACTTAGTCCTACAGACATAGCCCATCTATGTTAGCTACTACAGTAAAGGGATCATGATACTCAGCTTGTTTCCCTAGTAGCAACAAGCTAATGACTGGTACATTACCAAATCTCAAAGTAACACTATTAATGTTATATAAGGGATGGGAGTCTAAATGTGCTTTCAGTAGTAAAGCACATTTGCCTAGCATGTGCAAGGCCCTGGGGTTGAAACCCAGTACCACACACACACACACACACACAAAAAAAAAAAAAAAAAAATCCAGGATGAATGCAATAGTGAAAGACTCACCAATCCCCCTGTCTCTCACTTCAAGATCAATTAAATATAAATTTAAGCAGAGAGAAATAATTTATAAATCAGATAACATTTAAAATGAATTGTCTATTAACTATACTGAATATACTAATACATGAAAGTATGACTATCCTAATACATGAAAGTATGACTATGACTATACCACTAATAAAAGACTAAAGATGAATTATGACTGCTGTTAACTACCTTTCTGTAGTTGAACATTTGACTTCACAAAACACCATAAAATTTGTAAACATAATAGTTTTGTTTTATAATCAACTAATGAAGGGTAGAGGAAGGAGAGATAAATAGAAAGAGAGAAAACAGACTAACCAAAATTTGGAAAGGGAAACAGATCTCTACCAAATATCCAGCTGCCTTAAAAGATAAAATATAATCGGATTTTCACTGACTAGAATGCCTGTTTTGATCCTACCCAAATCCGAAGTCTCGGGTCTTTAAATATATAATCTTATTTTCTTCTGAAGGAAAACTACCAGTCTGGAGTTGGCATGTCAAGAGGGAAGGAGGGTGCACTCTTAAATAGGACCATCCCCATATTGCAGTCTACTGGGAAGCAGCGACTTGGGCTTTTGAAAAGCATGCTGCATTTTTGCAATTACAATATAGCATTGGTCTTAGCCCGGGCATTGCTTCTGGACACACACTTTTTTGAACAAAGATTTGCCTGGGTGAACAATATTAAAGCTGTCATACCGAAGTAACCACCAACTCCGGCATCTCCAGGACTATCCTGGCACCTGTGAGAGCGCGGGCTGTCTGCGGATTCTGGGCAAAGCGGGGTAAAGATCCCAAGCAAAACCATAGAGTTATACCCTTCTCCCAGTCTTCTGGCCAGAGAAAGGGGAAGGGTTCCAGTCCTCTCGCCTGGGACACCTTCCCGGCCCAAAGAGGCACAGACCTCACGCCCCGTGTGGTTGTTGGATCTAGGGGATCTGTGTCCCCTGGCAATGCTCCTGTGGGGGAATCCCCGTCCGGACAGCGGTGAGCCCCTGTCACCTGGGGGAAGTTCACCTGAGGGAAGCCCACTGACCTGGATGCGGGACCGCCGCTTCTCTCCGGGCGGATCAGGTGTGCGGGCCGCTCTTGTGCCCCTCCCACCTCCGAACAGGAGAGCGGAAAACTCAGTTACAGGCCACCGTCCCACCGACCAACCGTCTGACCAACCAGCAGACCGACCGGCAGCCGCCGGGTCCCGCACCCACGTGACGGAGGCGGAGGCCCCGAGGGAAGCTCGTCCCTGAGCGTCCCTCTCCCACCCCTGGAATCTCCTCCTAAGGCCGCCACTTCGCCTCCCTCTCGGGAACCACAGCCGGCCTCTGGGACCCGTCCGCTGCGGTTCCAGTTCCCCAGGGACCTGCCTCATCTCCCCCGCCCCCTGGGCCGCGCTCCGCGTGCAGGCTCCAAGCCCCGCCTCTCCCGGGGAACCACGCCCCTCCAGGGCCCCGCCCCGCTCGCTCCACCTCCTCCTCCCAGACCCTTCCGGCTGCTGGGAGGCCCCTGGGCAGTTCTCAGTGTTGGTGCTCCTGGCCTCTGGGGTTTCGGTAGCCCCTAAGGACCGCTCCCGCGACGCAAAGAATAAAGCTGAAGAAGCAGGAAGACACTATGCAGAGAATTGCAGGGAAACACCGAAAACCTTATTAGAGGCACACTCAGCGCAGCAACCCTTGCGACGTCTGTACTTCCCCCACCCAGTGAGCGATGCAATAGAAATTGAGGTTGGCCTGAGGAGAGCCTCTTTCCTTGTCTGTGAGCCCCGCCCATCCCACGGAATCTGCATATTGGCAGGCTCCGTCCCGGCCCACCTTAGGTCCGGTTGTACTCTAACCCCGCGACTTGGGGTGGAGGTCCCTCTAGTGGTTGGTGGCGAACGATAGCTCTGTGCCAGGTCTTGCGAATATCTGAGGACAAGGAGCACTTCCTGGGCCCAGCACCAAGATCAGGTACCGGTACCATAGGTCCAAGAAAAGCTTTGGCAATGTCTGACCACAAAGAATGATTTCTTCAATCTAGAGTTCTGAGCCCTAGAGACCGATTCCAACATCGACTCCCAGTGTGCAACCTGAAGTCACAACACCAGTTGGTTGCTGTGCCTGGGCTTACACGGACAGGCTGCTCAATTCAGCTGATTAAAATCCTCCGTGAGCCTCAGATGGCAGCGACACTAGGAACTCTGGCACAGTCCCCAGCTTTGGCAGGAGTCGCTTACAGCTCCGGCCTCCAGTTCTTTACAGGCTGGAGAGTTGGCAGACTCCATGGGACACATCTTTTTTCAAACCAAATTTACCCTCGTGGTCTGAAATTAACAGTGTGCCCAGAGACTTGTACACGTGAATAGAACATAAGCCACACTGGCAAATAAGAGACGTGTGGTCACTGCAGGAACCTAGCCAGCAGCAGATCAAGGGCAAAGCCAGCAGAGGAAGGCTGGGGCCCACAAGAGTTGTGTTACAGCAAGACACCCTTCAGTTCTATTTTACTTCCTTAAAATAGCAGCAGAGAAACTTTGATAAATGGTGTCTGCCACAGTTCACACAAGTTCATGGGTGTTTCCAAATCCCACATGTATTGCCCCAGGGAACCCACTGTCCTTACCCCAGCCCCCAGAAAATGCTAGTCTGTTCTTAGAACTATACAATTACTTTTTTTTTTAATTCTGGGGTGGAACCCAAGACCTCATGCCCACAGGGAGAGCATCTATCACTCTGCTACACCCCCAGCTCTACCATTACTTTTAGAAATGTAAAAAAGTAACTGGCTAACTTATCTGCACTTCGGAACCACCTTGCAGGGAAGGGGCTTAAAAAATAATAATGTCTGTGACCCACCCCTAGAGGGTCTAATTTAATGGGCTAGAGGTGTGGCCTGGATATTAGGAATCTTAAAGTTCCCCAGCTCTGGCTATAGTTCTTGTATAGGTCACCAGGACATCAGTTCTCATATAAATCCAACAAGAGACCTCAGAGATGAAAAGTTCACCTGAGAGAAACCCAAGAAGATGTTCCCAGGCCTGTTTTCATGCAGGGACTCTCTCCTGTTGATAACTCCATTCCACTCTCCACTGCAAGGCAGGCCACTTTCTTTTTTTTTTTTTAACATTTATTTTTTAGTTTTAGGTGGACACAATATCTCTATTTTATTTTTATGCGGTGTTGAGGATCGAACCCAGTGCCCAGTGCATGCCAGGTGAGTATACTACCACTTGAGCCACATCCCCAGCCCAGGCCACTTTCTTTATATCTGTGAGATAGGTAATGTTACTTTCCCACAGGCAGGCCCCAGGCTGTGGGAAATAAATAAATTTATTTATTTATACCTGCCTCATTTCACAACGGATTTGGGCTCTCTGTACTGTTCTGTTAGAATTGTGGGTAATTACACTGTATCTGTAGGTTGGGTCCTTATTTTCTGCCACAGATCTACTCAAATGCTACAGGGGAGAAAAACCTCTTTTCACTGCCCATGGTCCCGGCCTGGACTTGGCAAAGACCAGGGAACAGCTGCAAGCACACAAAGCAAGCCCTCTCATGTGACCAACCTGGAAAGACAGGAGCCTCAGCACATGACACAGACTGGCACCACAGCCTGCACTTGTGACCCAAACTCAGCTGAATTAGACACACACATGGGAACCACTTTGAAGCCCCTCTCAAGAGGCATGCTGCCCTCTGTGCCACACGGCATGCCTGCTGTGGTAGACAGTTGCTTGCCTGTTACCTGGCTTCCATCCAGATTCCAGAATATTAACCAAGGTTCTCTGGGTATTGGGGATTGTTCACAGTAAACTCAACACAGGCAGCACTCCCTAAAAGCTTTCATGATGAGGGTATATAGGCAAATATAACCTGATGAGCTTATTTGCTTAGTGTTACTTTTATTGCATTTAAAGCCAAAAGAGAGAAGCAAATGACAGTAAGGCAAGATGAGGTAGAGGTGGTGTCCTCACCCTGGCTGGCTTTCTGGAGGAAGTAGCTTTTGAAAGACCTATAGGAAGGTCTTGTGCAGACGTGAAAACTGACTTAAGAGGGAGACTATTATTTTTAGACTGAACTATGAACACACTGATTATAAATGGCTGGGTGAACAAAAATAAATATTTGATGCTTCCTTGGGCAATGGAAAGACTATGAGATTTGTAGCAGTTTCTAGCTCTTTCATTTTGTGGTTGTGCTACTTTCAACAACTCACCTAGACCCTTTTTTATCTAGAATGGCAATTGTAAAGATTTGTACATATCTCACAGAGTGAGAATTAAATAATATGCAAATACTTTGCAACTAAAAAGTGGTATTCAGATGTTAATGTTTTTACTCTATTATAATATTTACTTCACTTGGTAGAAAGGCAAGACTAGGGGAAATAAAGATTAAACATCAATAAGAAATAGTACTTTAGTTGGGCAGTGAAAAATGAAAAAAAAATATTTATGGGTATTTGGGAAAGACAGAAGAGGAGTCTGAGTATCTGTGGGGACATATGATTCTAACTGTTAAGGGATAAAGGCAGAGTTAAAGCAAATGCTGGAGAACAAAAAAGAAAAGTCTAGAAGTCAGCAGGACCAGAATGTAGCTGGCCATGAGGGCCAGGACATGTGGATGAGTAATGGACTTTGTTGAAAATTCTCCAATGATGGACTCTCATTTATGCTCTTGGAAGATTCCTAATGCAGTACCACCTGGGAAAGGATGCATATGTATTCCCACTTCTACAACCTATTCCTGTGTGTGACCAGAGTGATACTACATTGTGAAGAGGTTGTGGTCTCAGTGTCCCAGAGAGCAGCTGCCAAAGCCATGATGTTACTCTCCCTCCCTCCCAGTTGCAACATGTTACTCCAGAGGCAGCTTTCTCTTTGTCTGGAGTCTGTAAAGGATCTGGTTTCCTTCATTCCAGGCATAGAGCTGCTTATCTCTGGGATTGTAATGGATCATGGAATGGCTTCTTGGCCGCCTGGGGAAGAACAAGTTGGACAGATTCTCCTCCCTGATAGTGTCCAGTGGATCATAGATGCAGGTGATTCGATGCGGGCCCTGGCCACCAGAACTGTAGACTACATAGAGAACCCCACACATGAGGAATGAGGCTTCAGCATCCTGGCTTCTGCAAGGAGTATCCCATGAGTGCTCCACTCCCAGTGTGCCAGACTCAATTTTTGTGAGAACCAAATGGCCTTGGATGCCTGGACCTGAGTGAATGGCCCAAAGCCCATGCTCATCCACAGCCAGGTCAATGTAAGTGAAAGGGGAGTGCTGGTAGACCAGTGCCCGGCCTGCCCCTCCTGGGAGCAGCATTCGATCTTCTACAGTCCTCTTCTGCAGATTATATTTGATTATCTCATTTAAAGTCCCTTGGTTGTGAAAAAATAGAAAACCTCTGTAGATCACCTGGCCTGATCCCTGCCAGGAAAGTGGTAGGTTTAGCTTCCGGGGAGGGGGTTTGGTGCTCTCCTCCATGAATGCCCGCATGTTTGCAAATTCCCAAACAGTGTTGTTTCTGGATCCAATTAAGAAATATACTTTTGGAGAGTCACTGCCAGCATCTTTCATCCAAGAGCCATCTGTGTCAATAGTCTTCTTCACTATTTTTAGAGACTTTATACTTGTCAGCATGTTATCACAGCCTGGCCAAACAGGAGAAAAAGGAGAGATTATTTAACATGAGATGTTTACTTTTGTGGAAGACTTACTATGCCTGGAATATCCTGTTTCCTTTCAGTTCTAATAGTGATAAGGAAAATTCTCAAGTCTACTATAAAATTATGGTCCTTAAAAGAAGAGTTCTCCTTAGGGAAATCCTAGGGCAAAAATGGAACACAGGTAAGCATTTCATGTTTTTCAGATAAAATGCATTGAAATTCCAGCATTAAGCCAAGCTCACTCTTTCATCTCTTATTTTCACAGATTGATTTTTTTTCCCTCATATGGTTCAGAATAAATTTATTACATGAGTTATGATATGATTCAACGAATCAGAGACTAAATGAAGAATGGGTCTTTGGTAAGACAGTTGCTGTCCAGTTTCAAAAGTTAGCCATTTTATTCACTTCAGGATATAAGCAGCCCCTTGCTGTTTCAGAGACCCTTATCATTCAAGAGTACATAGAATTGGCACAGTGAGAATGACATGGGTGTGAAGACATGTAATTCAGTTCTGTTTACCAAGATTTTACTGGGTATCTACTGTGTATTTAGCTTACAAGCTTCTCAAAAGAGTGATAAGATTTGAGGATAAAAAATATATATATTGGTCCTAAACCATGAGGAGATATCTTCTATTGAAGGATTCTGGCATTCTGAAAAATTCTTAACATTGCTGCAACATTGTAAGAGCTCAAATCATCCATTTGTGAATTTATGGATATATTTAGTCAGAGACATTTAAAAATCTACAAGGCTAGGTGTTATGGGGTGAGGTATAATGGGTAGAGATGCAAAGATAAATTAGGCATGGTTCTTTCTTATTAGGTACATGCTTAGTTAGGATGTAAGATTGAAGGGTTTTTTGTTTGGATTATTTTTGTTTGTTTTTGGCTTTTTTAATATTTATTTTTAAGTTTTAGGTGGACACAATATCTTTATTTTACATTTATGTGGTGCTGAGGATTGAACCCAGTGCCTTGAGCATACTGGCGAGCACTCTACCACTGAACCACAACCCCAGCCCTGTTTTTGTCTTGTTTTTTACAAAAGAACATACATAAGGGAGATAACATTTGAGGTAGGGAAGAATCTGCATTTGATTTGGCCCTTGAAAGATAAATGAAGGGCTGGGGTTGTGGCTTAGTGGTAGAGCGCATGCCTAGGATGTGTGAGGCCCTGGGTTCGATCCTCAGCACCACATAAAAATAAATAAATAAAATAAAGATATTGTGTCCAACTACAACTAAAAAAACAATATTTAAAAAATTTAAAAATGTAAAAAAGAAAGATAAATGGAGTGGAACTCTGTAAAGAAGTAGAAAGAACATTCTAGAGAGTTAACAAAATCACTTTCAGGAAAGTCCTCCAAGATTAGGAAATGGAATGGGAGTATAACTCAGTGATAGAATGCTTGCCAAGCATGTGTGAAGTCCTTATTCAATCCCCAGAGAGAAAGAGAGATTAGGTAAAATAATACCTAATAAATTTAAACCAATACAACCTAAATACTTAATATTGTCTCAACTAGATGCAAATACTAATGAGTAGATTGGAGCCAGCTCTATTGCCTGGAACCTTGAAGATGGAGCTAAAGAATTTGGGTTTTATTCTATTGGCAGAAATATAACTATTGAAGTCACTGAGAAGGAAAAGACTGTCAAGGCTGTTCCATAGAGTAAGCTGGTAGCCTATGTATGATAGACTCACGAGGAAGAGAACAAAATCAGGGAGACCAATTAGGAGGTTATTTCTATAGTCCAAACAGGATGATAAAGGGTCTAAACTAGGTGGAAGAAGATGAAGTAAAAAGAAGGGGTTTACATTATTCTAGCTCTTTACTGCCATTTCAGAGTATTATTCCTCCACCTTCATGCGTACACGTACACTCTTCCTTCTTTGTATCCTTTTCTTCTCTTTCCTTTTTTTCTTTCTTTCATGTGAATGTTTGTTACTAAGGGTTGAACTTAAGGGCACGTAGAGATAGGGCCTCTCTAAGTTTCTGAGGCTAGCCTTGAACTTGGGATCCTCCTGCCTCAGCCTCCTGAATTAAATGACAGTTTGCGCCACCATGCCTGGCCTCTTCTTTGTATCTCACCCTTTATGTTTCAACTTCTCTTAGCTTAATTGCTGATTATTCTCCAGTACACTATGCCATATGCACAGAGTACTTCTTCAACTCCTTGAAAACTTCCTTTTAAACCACTTTAGCAAAACCCTTCAATGGGCATATTTTGAATCCCCCAACCTCCAGAACCGTTGTATGTTAGAAATCAACAATTGTAATATCCCACCTTTCCAACAGTATCTTACCCTTCCATTTCTCCCTCCTTGTTTATTTGAAGTGCTGTGGATTAATAAATCTCTTTTATTTATTTTTTCATGGAATACTATTTTTATTGGTGCAATATAATTATGCATAATAGTGGGATTCATTATGTCATATTCATCCATAAACATAATTTGGTCATTCTCATTTCCTTGTACCTTCCCTTTCCTTCCCCTCCTCCCTCCCACATCCTCTTGTCTGAGGATCTCCTTTCCATTATTATCAGTATCAATATTTTAACTAGTATCTTACAGATTTCATTTCCCAGTACTTCCCCCATGCCCTCCCCTCCTCCCTCCCTCTCAATCCCCTTCCTTTACTCCATTGGTCTCCCTTCTAGATAAATTTCTTTTAATATCAATTCCTTAAGAGGTTGTGACCACTTTAAATATGTCCACCCTAAAATTATCTACTAGAACACCTTTCTTATTTCTTTGAGGTCACTTGTTTTTATTGATAATTTTTTTGTTTTATTTATAAGCTCATTGTCCATCTCCCCAACTAGACTCCACAAGAAAAAGGCCTCTGTCTTCATGTTTAGTATTGTGCCCTAATGACTAACTCAGTGCTTTGAAGGTTCTGTACATGTCTATTGAATTAATACAGAAAATAATTTCATTTAAGCAGATATTTTTCCTAGGATCTAAATAGCACTGCATATCCTGAGTTCTGACCACAGGCCCATCTTAAGTAAATAATCACTTGAAAAGTACTTTAATGCTTTTAAGACACTTTCAAATCCATTATTTTCACTTAAAAAAAATTTCCAACCTTCTGAAGGGAACATGTGGCAGATGTAGGGGTGGGGAGCAAGTGAATCTGGGAAGAGCTGAGTCCCAGTCAGTCCTTTCTGTGGTTATGTTACTACTGGCTACTCCCAGAGGCAGAGAGACTTTGCCTGGCCCACACTATGGCCAGGGAAAGACTTGAGGGTAAACTACAGTAACAGTAATCTCTCAGCCATCAGCAGTCACCATGTCTCCATGCTGACAGGCTTCACCAGTCTGAGGACTTGCTTTCCTTTAGCCTCTAGGTCACCACTTTCCTGAGTGTCCTGGCCTATAGGAAGCCAGAGTCCTGGGAAGGCACATGGGAACCTTATGTATTTCAGGAGCAGCCAAGAGACGGACTCTTTAGTACTCTTAACTACTAGTGGCTATAGCATTTTTGTGAAAGAGGACAAATGAGCTGTGCTGTTTACAGGACCCCTTCTCTGCTTGAGCACAGGAGACCTTTTCCAGTGCCACAAGCTCAGCTTGTCTGATGTGAAGCCTCTGCTCTTCCCAGATCCTATATTGACCATAGAGGATAAATGAGTGAGGCTTTAAGCCTGCAAGGACTTTTATGGAGGAAGAGGGGGTCCATGGGTTATTAGAGAAGCCTAGAAGCTATTCCTTATTAAGGAATGAGCACAGGGCTGAAGAAGTTAATAAATGTCTGACAATAAATAAAATATATTTGATAATATTCTAGGCTCTTTATATTAACTTATATAATTCTTATGAATTTCAGTGGTAGATAGTTTAATCCCCCTTTTCCAAATGAAGAAAAATTAAGGCTTGCACAAGTTACTTGGAAAGGTCACTCAGCTATGGGGAAGGAGTCCTCTGAGCTCAGTTCAAGCTGAAAGGCAGGAGCTGGGGCACCTGTGCCTAGCCTCAGCAGCATATTGGTGAGCGTGTATGGTGGGAAGGGGAGGAGAGTGATATGTCCTGGCATGAGGGCCATGGACCTCTGAGGATGACAGGATATCTGTCTTGACTAGGTGCCCCCCTGCCTACCCATCCTTCTATCTGGGAAGAAGGCCAGCAGGCTTGCAGCCCAGCTATGGAAGGACTGTGTCTAAGAATAAGGCACGTGAATGTCTTACCCAAAGAAAACATTCATTTAAAATACAGAAGAAACAAACACACACTTTCTTCCTTTTCCTTCTATGCCTCCTTTCATTGAATGCAGAACCCTTAGAGAAATAACAGTGCTGATATATGGTTAGGATCAGGGAAATGCAGCTCTGGGGAAAAAGAAAAAAGAAATTCTCCCATGTTCTCCCTCTGCTTTTACTACCCCTTCCTTTGTAGATGGAACCCAGGGCCGGGAGTCAGAGACCCAAATCCAGAACACTGTATCCCCTAAAAGTCCCTTTGTCAATTCAGTCTTGGTTCTACCATGAAGGGTTTTAGGCTAAATGCTCTCTCATTTTCTTCAGGGATGATCTTCTATAAATATTATAAGTCATTCTTCTTTTAGAATTTAGGGAGAGTACATTTTCAGTGTTTCAGTAAAGGAGTAAGTTAAAATTTCCTGCTGTGCTTATCTTGAGAGGAGACAATTAGCAGAAGGAAAAAGTTGAAGAAGGATTGGAAATAATAAATATAAAACCTTTGAGTCCAGTCAAAATGCAAATTACTTATCAGAGACAATGGCATGCAAGGTTTCACCTGCTAACCAGAGAAATAAAATCTGTTTTCCCCCAGGCAGAATTGCAGACAAGCAATTAGGGTCGAATTTGGCCCAAGGCCTCACAGTGAATTCTTAGGCAAATATATCATTTATTTGAATCTTTTAAAATATTTCCCTTATTTTATATAACAGTCTCCAGGCCTGGTGAGATTTGTCCCTCTCTAAGACAGAGAGACTCACTCTGAGTATTAGAAA